AATTTTAGTTTTGCAATTTTTTTATTATTTTTTTCTTTTTGGTATGTTGGCTGGAGTAGATTGAAGTACAAACTTTTTACTATTAAACATTTATCACTACTTCAAAAATTATAACTAATAATAAAGACGTAATTTTATTTCATTATATTTGTACATACAACAGTCAACGTTATATTTTAATGACAAAGATGTTAAATTTAACCCTAGTCAATACTCAACATATCTTCTCTGACGATAATTTTCCTACTTACGGAATATTTTATTTTATTTTATTTCCCCTTTTTCAGGATTGCAAACTGTTTATTTGCATGAGTTGCATCATCGTGTGTATAGTATTCAAATTGAATTTGAGCCAGCTTGTATTCAAGATAATGGGAATACAAATGGTCACCTCAAAATTATATATATATATATATATATATATATATATATATATATGAAATAATCTCATATGTCTATTTGGTTGATTAATGGTTAAAAAATATTATAAAGGGAACAAAAAAGAAAGAAAAATACAGCGATATTTTCTTAATTATTATAAACTTTAAAAGTACATTTGACAAAGCTTGCATTCACTAATATGTAAAATGCATTCATGCTCTATAAAAGTACACTCAAGTTGAATGCATTATAACATATTAATTAGCGAATGAATCGTGAAACTTTGTTTTTGTAATATTTATGGGAATTGTCACTACATTTTTCCTTATTTTTGAGTCATTGATCACCCCAAATGAATAGATGATATTATTCTGCATTTTTTTTATGAAAAGCATTGTTCACCAATGACTCTTATACCCAAGACTACCCCAAAGTAGGGGTGTAAATGAGCCGAGTCGCTCGTGAGCGGTTCAGTCAACGCTCGGCTCGAACTCGGTCAAAATCGAGCTCCGCTCGAGCTCGAGCAGCTCGTGAATTAAACGAGCACGAGCCGAGCTAAGGTATTGTAGGCTCTAGGCTCGCGGCTCGACAAGCCGCTCGCGAACCTTATAATATATTATATATAATATAATTATATTATATTTAGTATATAAAAATAATAATTAGGGGAGGGAAATTAAAATAGTTTAATAATTATGTATGGATAAAAGTCATAAAATAAAGTAATTTAAATTTTAAATCAAACAGGTTAAATTCGAGATCAAAATTGAGCTCAAATTCGAACCTAAACTCGAGCTCGAATTCGAGCCTGAACTCGAACAATCGAGCTGCTCGAGCTCGAGTATCAGTTCACGAACTTGAGCTCAAGCAAGTCTATCATTAACGAGCTCGAGTATGAGCCTACCCAAGCTCGAGCTCAGCTCGGCTCGTTTACACCCCTACCCCAAAGTGAATTGTGAAGACTTTGTGTTTCTACCGGTACAAAATCAATTTTATCCCTACAGTACACTTTTTGACTTGAGTTTGTACAAAGATATATGGTACCAATCGATCCACACTATAAGTCTATAACCTTTAATTAATTTCATATATATATATATATATATATATATATATATATATATATATATATATATATTATATTGTAGTCATTATATTAATTTAAAGGAAAATGGGCACCTCAAAAATAATTTTTTTTAGGAGCATGCAGTGTACTGAAGATGATGGATCAAGTACACCCTACAATTAAGTGGAACATGGTGCACGTATGATCATAATATATAATTCATATTTTATTTTGATGTGTGTCCATACATTTTATAATAATTCAACATATCTTTACTGGAGATACGTACTGATGTCTCTTCATTGTCCCTTTGTTGGTATGCAATGAAGGTTCATCTGTACCAAGTTAGTCCACCTGTTTTCAATACACTTCTATGATTGTGAGCAAAATACTTCTTCACCACTTATTTAGCAGACAAATATTATACGCGTTAGTTGATGATAAATTATACCCCCCCAAAACTCATAAGCTTAAAGATTAAGATTAAAGTTACAAATTTTACTCTCAATAATTAAGAGTGTGACTTATTGTTAACCTTCTTAATTTGATTGAATCGGGTATGATAATATAGGCTGATTTATCTCTTTGTGATCCTTTAGTAGTAGATGTGGCTTTTCTTTGTCACTTAAATAATAATAATAATAATAATAATAATAATAATAATAATAATAATAATAATAATAATAAATTGACTGTATCAATTAATCACCGACCTTTAGTTGGTCAATAAATTCATGTTTGATTGTTAAGTACTCCGTATATAGTGGTATATTTATTTTATACAGATTATTCTCTGAACTAAACTTATGGCTTAATTATTAACGGGGGAATACAACTGTCATATCATATCATACCCAAACTTTAATCAAGTTTGAAGTTTATAATTAAGCTAATAGAATGAGATATATACGTTGTACCAAAGGAGCACGTGCCATGTCTTGGATGCAAATTAAAGTTTTTGTTTGTTTTTTTTTTTTGTTGAGAATAATGCAAATTAAAGTTATTCACTAAAATCCTGTTGGTGTTGGATATTGTTTAGGTTTAATAATTGACATAGTTTTTGTGGGTCTATGTTGTGATTCTAATTAGCAAAGGATCAGAAGAAAGTAAATAATTATCCTAAATTGTATATAGATTAACTGGTTCAAGCCAAAAATCAATTTCAGATCAGAGTATGTAACTTTGTGATTGTTAAGTCAACAATTTGACCGACCAATTTTGTGTGGACATTGCAAAATTTCAGACAAATATATATATGACAAGACAGGATTTTTTTTAGTGGAGCAATACAACTGAATAGAGGGTTCGAAGCAACAACGTAACGTACCATCCCAGTAGTTGAGAATCAAACCAGCTAGCTCCCACCATCTTTTGCAGACACATATTATTATTGTATCATCATAGTTAAGGATATTAATTTGGTGCATGCACATGATTTGTTGGTTCTCTAGACTCCAGAGGGGACAGTCCACGTGGTAGGATCAGGTAGTTTCATCATTCTCTAACAACAACACTAGATATCAGATTCTCCTATATTCATACAATCCCATCAGTTCTTGACTTGATAATCACAAAATTACAAATTTAATTTCTAGTGAAAATAGCCTAATCTTTTTTATTTGAGTACTTCAGCTATGAACAATCTAAGTTTATTTACCTCTTTATGATCTTTTACTGACTAAAATTACAAGACAAGATTTATCAACTACACATCCTGAGATAATGAATGCGAGTTTTCTCGATCATCAATAAAAATAAAAATAAAAATAAGCGTCCATGTCCATTATTGACCTTTAAACTATATATAAAGGCTTATCACCCACTCTGATCATCACCATCTTAAGCTCTATCATTCAAGAATTATATTACAAAGAAGCATTCTAAGTTTCTTTCTTTCATTCTTGTTTTATACTTTCTGCAATTCTTGGATTTCTTGCATCAGTAATGGCTGAAACCCTTGGATATGATTTGAGTGCGTTTGAAATCAACAGCGAGGTACTGACGTCATTCCTTGAAGAATCACTCATGGAGGATGCGGATGATGAAAGGTTGACGAGTGTGATGCGGTCTTTGGAAGCTGAGATTTCCGCCGCCGCTGCAGGCGGAGATGATTTCACTTCCCTGCCGGAGATTAAATCGGAGGACCTTCATGGATCCATGGAGGAGGAATTTCAGCCGTATGATCTGAGTGCATCCGAGGGCTATTGCACATCCTCGGACCTCGAGTTTGATTGGACCACTGATGCGGAGATGGCGTGTTGTTGTTCTTCTAGTGACGAGGTGAATAGTATGTTGTTGGAGTATTCTGCAGATGAAATCGAAGATGCGGTTATGTTTGTGGGGATTGAGCAGCATCATACGCAATTCTGGGATGGAGTTTTCTTGGAGGAACATGGGTATAGTTCCTTGTGGCAAGAACCTTATAGCTCACTGTAATATAATAGTCCTGGGATCATTTCAAGCTTTGATTTCAAAAGGATTCATTCTATTTCACTTGTAGATCCTTCCAACTTATATAATGCCACAAAGAATATTTGATTTTGGCACAACAACTTTGATTCAATGTTGCAATTCAATGCCATATCTGACTTTGAAAATAGCCCATTTTCTTTTTATGTTATACCATAGGCATCAAGATTAAATTAACATTTCAATATGCCGAGACTAACTCAACTCAACATGTACACTCTAAAAGCTGGATTAATAAAAGTGTAGAGATAAATTCCTTGTGCGCAGAGTTAATGATTGACTGGACCTTAATGTCATATGGGCCTTGAGTTTGGCACAATGCCCAACATTCATGCGGTGTCCCGAAACCCCTCTTACCTCGATCGCGAACCAACCTTACCCTCATATGAGGCCAAACAAGTTTTGCCCTGCCATGGATTCATCAGAAAAAGGTCAATAGCTCCCGACTAGTTGTGTCATTCGAATCGCCTCAGTCCCTTCATAGTCAAGTCTAAAACTAGTGACAAGTTAGTTCTTTGAACTTAACCGGATTGACATGTCTAACTCGGTACCTTGGCTACACTATTATCGTCCCTACTCATTTTATGGCAAGCTAACTAGTTGATCCATCTATTTATTGAATCTAACATTGTCGCTATCCGTGCCTGACATTAAGCTGGGAAACTTAGGATCCGTTTACTTTCGTTCTCTGTTTTCTGTTCTCTATTTTCTATTTTCTATTTTTGAAAACTTATTTACTAGTACTTTCTTTCAAAATTCATTATCCACTTACTAAATTATATATGTATAATATTTATTTCGTGACAAAATATTTTACAAAACATTGATTAATTGTAATAATTTACAAATGAATACAACTAATTAAAAGCTTCTGTGTTTATCTTTAATTTTTTTTCCTAACAATTCATATATGTATCCATTATCCATTCAAGGGAAATTGTTAGTTTATGTTGGAGTAGGAAACTGGCAATGGCGCATGCACAACGTACGACGCGTGTCATTTAAACCTCAACCATTGTTGTAGTATTTGTCACGCGGTCTCTTTCCCCAGTAATATATATATATATATATATATATATATATATATATATATATATTCCCAGTTTCATGTTCCACCGATCTCTCTTTGCACCAAAAGACTGATCTGAAGAATGATACTGCGTTTCTTAACTGTTTACAGACCCAGAATCCACCCATCTCTGCTGTTTTCTTCAACTTTTGTTCAAAGATCAAATCTTTCGTCATCTGAAATCCAACATTATGACAACTTTAATCCCATCAACCACAAAGATTGGCTCAGCCCAACACAAGTGATCAAGATTTTCCAGAATCTGAAAGACCCAAATTCAGCTCTGAATCTATGGACCCAAATGTCAAAACGCAAGGACTATACCCCCAACGAAGCTCTCTACTCCGCAGTCATCAACAAGCTAGCAGAAGCCAAGAACATGGATGCAATTGAGACGCTTATGGAAAGAATCAAACTTGAGAGAAAATGCAGGCTCTCCGATGCGTTTTTCTACAATGTGATCAGGGTTTATGGGAATGTAGGCGGGAGGATAAACAAAGCCATGGAGACCCTCTTTGACATGCCGAATTACAAGTGCTGGCCGAGCGTGAAAACCTTCAACTTCGTGCTCAATTTGCTCGTGAACACGAAGCAGTTTGAAGTTGTCCATCAAGTGTACACGGGTGCCGCGAAGCTGGGCGTGGAGATCGATGCTTGTTGCTTGAATATCATCATCAAAGGGCTATGCAGCTGCGGGAAACTCGAGGTTGCACTCCAGGTGCTCGACGAATTTCCCAAGCAAAATTGCGCACCCAATGTGCGCACCTTTTCAACCATCATGCGCGCACTGTGCGACCGCGGCCGAGTCGATGAGGCATTCGGGTTGCTGGAGAGGATGGAAAGGGAGCGAGTGGAACCGGATACAATCATGTATAATATACTGATTTCTGGACTAAGGAAGCAAGGGAGAGTTGAAGAGGGGATTGAGGTTTTCAACAAGTTAATGCATAAAGGCTGTGACCCAAACGATGGAACTTATCAGGAAGTTCTGTATGGGCTAATTGATGCCAAGAGGTTTATTGATGCCAAAGATTTCATGGGTGTGATGATTGACAAGAGAGTGAACCCGAGCTTCGAGTCGTATAAATTGATGGTCCATGGCTTGTGTGATCAGAATCTAAGTGTTCATTTGGACTGGGTACTTAAGCAGATGATGAGGCATGGATTTGTACCAAGAATGGGAATGTGGAAAAAGATGGTTCAATGCTTCTTACATTCCAAAGATTGCTGTAATTATGTTATAATGTCCTTTGAAGGCATTATTGCAGACCAATCTCCATAGAAATGCAATCACTTTACAAACTCTTTGTTCTTTCTAAATTTTATATATATATATATATATATATATATATATATATATATATAATGATGTTGTATATATATATAATGATGTTGTATCGTAGGAAATTCAAAAAGTATGTTCAGGGATACAAGATACACAAATACTCTTGCAAAATCTACCATAGGCATAAGCCAACATGAGAATTGTTTCAGGAGCAGACCACACTATGGCTAATGTGTACTATAATGTTTTTCAAGGAGACTGTACAGAACACACAAACAATGACAATAAGATGCACTCAAATCTGAGCATTCTAATCACTCATAAGGTACACAAAACCATAACTGAACATTTGTCTCAATTGCCTCATTGTTCTGTAACATTTTTCAATGGAATTTTTGAATCTTGAGAAGTTTCTAAATCATTTACTTTTTGGGCCCCTGGAAGGGGATTATCATCCATCACACATGCATCTTCATGGCCAACTCTATGTACTGGTTTGTTCTCCATGACTGCGGTTTCATTTGAAGTCTCGGTGGTTATGTAATCACTAGATTTGGTGGAATCATTACCACGAGGAGATGTATCGTGAACAACTGAATCTGGTACGACTTTCGGGGTGTCAATTGATGACGGAACAGATGACTCGTCTGAAGAATCAGATACCACGGAGTTGTCTCTCTCTGACTCGGCTTTTGATTTTCTTGATCCTTTACGAGTAAGAACATGTTTTATGCCACCCTGAGCGGATTTCCCTACATGCTTCAACATGTTCTTTGCCCTATCTTTCATTTTCCCCTTAGTGGGACTATCTTGTTCATCTCCTTCCTGACATTCTTTGGCGTCTTCTTTTGATCTTCTTGCAGGGGTTTGAGCATCTTCTTTTGATCTTCTTGTAGGGGATTGAGCATCTGTGTCATCCACTACAAACGTCACACCAATACTCTTTGTATTTAGCGCCTTGAGATTTATATGTGGAGATGGGGCTGGCTCATCAAGGTTGCTGGATTTATCGTGATTTCTGGGACTCCTGTGAAACGCTGCACTGATTTTATTCAAACCCCTATGCAGTCGATTCATTGAATGTCCATTTTCACTCTCGTTTTCATCAGACCTGTTGTCATCACTCCGAGACGAGCCGGATTTTTTGAACTTAAAACTCCCATCCGTTGACTTAAAACTTCCCACAGAATCAGAATCCTCACCATCGATTTTCCTACCTTTACCCTTCCTTGGCTCCCAGACTTGCGCAATTTCAACACCTGGATGATGAACCCATACCCCAGTCTCTTCTTGCCCTTCAATACCAATGGGCTCATATCTGTCTGCAACTTTAGGGGCTTTATCAGGTAATTCACTTGGGGAGCCTACATCGGCTGCATCATTCTCAAAGGAGTCTCTGTTTTGCTCATCATCAAAACTTCCTTCATCAAACATTGGGTCAATATCCTGGTTAACCAATCAAGGATTAGCATCTTAATAAACATTAGCTATCAATCACATGATTGTTAATAAAACATTAACATATTGTATAACCAAGATGGCAAGATATTACTGTTCTAAATTTGGTGCAGAGTCCACAGTGAAATCTAGTGAAAGGATAAGAGGTACCTTTTTGTCACCCTCAATCACAGTTATTGCAAGATGCAATCTCCCCATTTTAATATTCTGAAGAGCCAACCACATATCATGCCTCTGGCCATCCCTGAAGTCGGTAACTTTTATAGAGCATCCTCTGCAAAAAAAAAAAAAAAAAAAAAAAAAGCTTGCTATTATTTCCATAATAGTAATGGGGAAACAGCATTATGTGCTATGAAAAATAACAAAACTAATCTCAAAACTAAAAGCAATACTAGAACAACCATAAAACTTGAATAAGCCAAAAACAGTTCATCTCCAGCCGTGGAAGGAAAGAGATTTACGCAGCAAAATCTGCCAGGTATCAGCATGTGATTTAAAAATAGAACTCCATAGCAGTTTCTACCAAGAGATGGAGCACTAAGCTTCTAAAAACAAAATTTTTGATGAGGTCTTCCAACTTAACAACGAAAACTTTTCAAGCATGAGGAATTTAGTCAGAAATTCTACAATACAGGAGGAATAGATTTTAGTGCAGAGCAGTCATTTGAAAACAACAGAATGAACCTATATCTTGAGTGCAATCTCCTGTGAATTACTCCGTAATAACTAGTGTATGTCTAAAGAATTAACATAAAAGGAGAAGACAACACACCCTAACGAATCATCCACAAAATGGTCTTTATCACAAACTTCAATCTTGAGCTCATCATTAGGTGACTCCCAGGAACAAACCGGGATTTTGAATTCCTCTTGCCACTTTGGAGTAAGTGTCTTCTTTTGAGTCTTGGTCCTGAATCTGTAAGGGCCAAGTCTCCCTTTCAGGTATGGATCAGCCAATCCTGAAAATAATCCACTAACAGTTACAAGACATGTTTCTTTCTTATTCAGTCATACTTTTAGATAGATAGAGCTAACCATTAAGATCTGATGGCTTCAAGCCAGCTGCCTCGAAAACTTGCACAACAACATGAGCAATGGTTTCCTTAGCATCAACCGTGAACCAATTTTCTGAAGACAACCAAAAAAGGGGAACATACATACTGCTAAATTTAAACAATCATAAGAAAATCTGTTTAAGGGACGGAATTATCATCAATCCTAAATCCATTTGTATACTAAAATAGTAAGATCAGAATGGACCTAGCATTGTGCACTTCAGAGCATCCATCCCTCACTACCAAAAACTCAAAGGAAAGGAGGAAAAAAAAAAAAAAAAAAGAGGAAGCAGGGCACAGAGAGTGGGTAGTGTCACGTGTACCTGGTTCTGGTGAAGCAAATTTCTTTACATCAACAACTAGCATGTTTGGCTGCAAAAGAATTGTAAATGTAATTCATCTTTAACTTTTGAACTTCATAGCATCCTAGCATATTAAAGGTTGCTGGAGTGTGACACTGTTCTCACAAACATACCAGAGGAAAGAATATGGAGGAGAAACAAAGACACCTGCTAATATAGGGGAATGAAATAACATATCTAAGGAATTACCTCAACAAGTGTCTGCTCAAAAGCAATGGCCAAAAGCTTATCCTAATAAAAACAGAAAACTAAATAAACATACACAAAACACACAGATATTGAAATCAAACACAATAAAAGAGAAATTAATAAGTAATTGCACTGACCAGCCATCCAGCAATTCCTGGAAGTTCAGTAACATCTAGTCCATGAGTGAATATAGGTTTCACAGTCATCTGAAAATAAGGTGGCTCCGCAAAGCAAACCCGTAAACGATCAAGAAATGGCCACTTGGGGAGGAACTTCACACCTACTAAAACCTACATTCCAAAGAGCATATCTTCAATGAACATTACTATTACAATCATTATGGTTGAGAAACTATTTTTCAGATAACTTACCTTCCCTTCAACATGCAAGCCTAACAGATGTAATTTTGCCCGCATCCCCAAGCCCAATCTTCTCCTCAGTTTGACAGCTAGAGATGCATTCATATCCTCAGTACAGAAATTCATTCCCAACTCTAAGGCCTGCATTAAATGTGTACTGAAATTCAATGTAGAAAATACATATATGTCATAATGGAGCAATTTATAGCATTGATGACCATGCTTAGCAGAGCTTCTTTTTTGAGAATTCATTTGTATTACTTATATATAAATGTAAAGATATAGACGCCCTTCTACATTTTAAGTTTACTTCATTACTTAAATTTTGTTTCTATACTGATCGGCAAAAACTAAAAACTATTTCAAATATCAGCAGAAAACAGGTAATAATGCAAATAAATAAATAAATGAAGTTACAAACACTAAGTAGTAAATGTCAATAATAACAAAACAACTATGGGATTAAAAATGAAATACTTGGTCCTCTGAAGTTCTAATCAAAGAAGCTTCAACCAAAGATCAGGTACATTCTTATCATTCATGAGTTAAATGGGCAAACTCTTTATTTTGAAATTTAAGGTCTAAGCTTGATGTGCATCTAAGTCTCAAGTTGAATATTAGGATCATCATTCTAATTTCTGAGCATTAAAATATTGGAGTAGAGCAGATATTGTGATCAGAATGCGATCTGATAATTATAATTTCATTTAACCAAAGGTTCATTTATATTTTGTATGAATTAAACTATATCATGTGACTTATATTTACAAGCATGCCGCGGTGAACTATTAGTTTGGCCTGTCAACTATTGAGCCAAAATGTTGTTACTGATCATGCCCAAATGAGGGTTACATACCAAGTGATCATCTCCTGTGGATTGGTGAAGAACTCTCATCTCTGTGAACATAGGCGGGCATCTACCTAAGTACAAATGCTGAACATCGACATCCTTCTGCACAGACACAAACAAGTCTCTGTTGTGTCTATAAGTTATATCCACTAAAAGGCTACTTATCTAAATTATTACCAGACACGGTAAAGTTTAAATGAAGTTAGAAAACCACACAAACAAAAAGGTGGAAATTTAACTTCAGTCATTAAGAGATGTTAGAAAATCAAGTAAGCAACTTAATTAAACCCTTACCACTGTCCAAGGCTTATACTTCTGCATGAACCATGGTATGATAGGAAGGAGAATTTTCTGGGAGACAATATGCTCCATACAAACAGGCCAGATTTTCTCTAGAGCATGATTCAACCATCTTACACTTTCTGAATCAGAAAGTACCTGGAGAAAAGCAAAAGGAGAGTGATTAGACAAGTATTAAAGAATCAATTCAGGAATCCAAGCAAGCAAAACAGATTAAAACACTGAAAAGGAAGGTGGAGCTATTCGTTTCAAGAATCACAGACAGCAGAAAGAGAATCAAAACATTTTGGGACCACCACATACTTAACTTTATTTACTTTGATCGTTCAGAATCAAAACATTTTTTTCTTATTTCAAAAAAAAAAAAGAAAAAAGTGTCACAATAAAAAGTCAAACCCAATTCTACTCTGAGGAATTTTTTAGACCACCTTTAATTTTC